AATGCAATGCTAAACTGTTTAGAGATATGTGACCATGATTACAGCCTGAATATTATGGTAATCTGAAATATTAGAAAATTCTCAACACCAACAGAATATAACATTAGTGAGACTATTACTTGTATGTATGAAATGATTGACACTTAAATGCAATGTATTATGAGTTACCCGTCATGTCCCATGATGAATGCACATCATAGTTTCACAGCTGGTGGGAATTCAATAGAGAATTTGGCTGACCATGGTGAACTGGCGTACATGTGACCTGTCCACACAGACACTTCACCAGTTATTTTGTCCCTTCTATTTGCAGAGTCCCAAGATTTTCCAGTTGTTTAAGGCAAGGTTGAATAAATTTCCAAACACCATAGCAACAAATAAACAATAATGACACAAAGCTTAGTAAAGTGGGGTACAAGTTATATGGGAGAAAAAAGAATAAAGTCATATCCCAAACGGAACTTAGAATGACTTTCAGAGCAGAATTTTAAGAACTAAATTTAAAGATTTGATTTTAATAATACTACTGATGGAAACAATGATTTATCAGAGAAAAGAAATGTTGGTATCAAACAAGATTTATTTTTGATGCCTAAATTTCCAAGACTCTAAAGCCAAATGATCCCCTATATTAGTGAACTAGCCTCAGAATGTTACCTAATTTTTGTAACATTAATTTACTATATCTTATTGTGGAATGCTCCTAACAACAGTCAATTTCTCAGCATACAAGTAATTTAAAATAAAGACACAGGAGTAGCGAGGAAGGAGAGAGGTTAAAAATTATATGAATATATCACTCATGTAAAACATTCTCAAAATAAATAAATGAAAAAATAAAGACAGATATTAATAGCATTGTAGCTATTAAGTATTAAAATAGTGATCAATTTGTCTTTATTTTAGGTGTTATGTATGAAGTCAATTTATTCAGAATGTTATTTTAAAAGGAAATGTCACTCTGATGTACACTTGGGCTGACACAAGTCATCTTCCTTTAACCCCAGCAGTCTTTGATTAATCCCAAATAGGTATGAATAATAGAAGGAAGCCATTTTTTTTCTTGCTAGATTAACCACTTCCCAGCAGACAAGAGAAAAGCAAGACCTCCATCAGCCAGTAAGGATTCTTTCAGAGACATAGTGGTTTTTGCCTACTCATTGTTACATATGTGACTCTGAGGTTAAGTTCTGGAATCACCACAGTTTAGGATACTGGTGCTGTACCTTGAATGTTAGTGTGAGTGAACTAACAGACACCTATGCTGTTAGTAAAACCTTTAGGGGTCACAGCTAAACACTCAGCTGAACTCCTGGATTCCAGTTGTAAAGAGGGACGAGTGATGAGCAAAGGGGTCAAGACCAAGCTGGAGAAACCCACAGAAATAGCTGGCCTGAACAAGGGGGAGATCATGGAGCCCAGACTATGGAAAACCAGCACAGGTCTGTTTCAGAACCTCCTTAGTTTGGAGATCTGGGCAATCTATGGGGTCTCTGGTAGTAGATCAATATTTATCCCTAGTACACAAATGGACTTCGGAAGCCTGCTCAACATAGAGAGATTCTCTCTCAGCCTAGACACAAATTGGACCTGCTCCAAATGATATGACAGACTTTGAGATCCCCCATGGAAGGCCTCACCCTGGGGAGCAAAAGAGGATGAGATAAGGAGTCCTTGGGGGGCAGGGGAGGTGGGACTGAGAGGGAATTGGGATTGACATATAAAACAAGTTTGTTTCTAATTTAATAAAAAAGTAATTAAAAATAAACCTTTGGGTGTGTCTGTGTGGGCTCTGGCCCAACCAACCATAAAAAAGCAGAGACTAACAAAATATAACTGTAAAAGGTAGGAACTAGTTAGATGACACTGGATGCTGAGAATGTACCTTTGAAGTGTACATCTTGTTCTTGGCCCCTTTCTACAACTTCTCTTTGCCTCAGGGTAGCAACTAAATGAGTTACAGCATGTTGCCTTCATGATGTTGTTTCTGTCTCATTAAAGGACACAAAACATGAAGCCAGCTACAACAATAAAGTATCTTAAACCATGAGTCCACATGCAACTTTCCTCTTCTTAACTTCCTCACCCAAGTATTTGTCACGGAGGAAAAAACAAAAGCCTGACTAATCCAGAACTTATGGGGTTTATTTTCATAAGTAAGACTATATTACATTCTTGGAGAAAAAGAAAATGTACCCACATTTTTTTTCTAGTTCTGAAAGGTGTCATGCTGACTGACAGAGAAAAATGTTTGTTTTTCTCTCTTTTCTACTGGTAAGTAATTGGATTAGCAAAAGGAATAAATTTCTTCTATTGAAAAATACTGCCATGTACATTAAATATATTTGTGTGTGTGTGTGTGTGTGTGTGTGTGTGTGTGTGTGTGCGTGCATGTACATGTCTGTGGAGCCCAGGCACCATGGACCTTTTTACTTTGAGACACGGTCTCTCATAGCCTGGAACTGTACAGTAGTCTAGGCTAAGTAGCTATCAACCCTCAGTACTAGTCCTGTCTTTGCCTCTCTGGAAATGGAATATAAATTCAGGCATCTCCGTTTTTTTCTTAAGATTTATTTACTTATTATGTATACAATGTTCTGCCTGTGTGTATCCCTGCAGGCCAGAAGAGGGCACCTGATCTCATTACAGATGATTGTGAGCCACCATGTGGTTGCTGGGAATTGAACTCAGGACCTCTGGAAGAAGAGCAGCCAGTGCTCTTAACCTCTGAGCCATCTCTCCAGCCCCATCTCTGGATTGTTTAAAAATAGGTTCTGAGATTGAATCCAGGGGAATCTCTTTAGTAAACACACTCTCTCCTCATTCCAACATCATAATTTTGAATAAAATCATAAACACATAGGAACTACAATATTAGGGTTTTGTTCTTCTAATGATTATAAGAGGACATAAATGTCTTCTACACCTTAATAAAAATTTTTGAAATCATAAAAATTATGCCACCAAAGTACTGCCCAAAATATTTTCTTTTACTGTGTATTTATATAAAAATTAATAAGTAATATTACTCACTAATACAATGTCAAATTTTAAAGTTAAAATAAGCTAATGTTGTAGTTTTACTATCTAGTTAAAAGATAAAACTTTGGATAATTTTAAGTACTAATGGTATAGTGTGAGAAATTTTTGAAGACTATAAATCTATTTTTTCACATGATAAGTAAAACACTAGGAACTTTAAGAATATTGGACACTCAAAGCTAATGCAGGCTCTCAAAAGTCTTAATTGCTTTCAAGAACCATTTACACACATTAGCTCAAAAACAGTATTGATCTCTTAGAACTAGTCAAATAATCCAACAAAAATGATTGTACTTAAATTATTTTTATATCAGCAGATTCTAGAATATAAAAATCTCATTTTAACCTTTGTTAAAATCACATTCAGTTTTAGCACTGTAATTTATCCATATATTAAGAGAAAATGGTTTCTTGTGATGCACTGAAAATTCAATTAAATCTTTGTGAAGAGGATTCTTCTATAAATTCTGTCCCACATACTATGAATAAAATATTTCACAATACTAAACTTGATAGCACAAGTTGTGGTGTCATTTTGACAAATTATTTATACCCTAACAAATGCCCCTCAGTATTTACCAATTCCTTGATACAGAAATGAGAGCTTCATAATTTTACTAAGTCTGTCACTGTTTTATTTAGGATTTCATTGCTATGAAGAGACACCATGACCACACACCTCTTATAAAAAAAAACCATTTAATTAGGGCTAGCTTACAGTTCAGAGGTTTAGTTCTTTATTCATCATGACTGGTGCAATGCATGGAAATACGGTGCTGGAGAAGGAGTTCTACATCTTGGAAGTTCTACATCTTCATCAGGAGGCAACAGGAAGCACACTCTGCACCACATTTGGCATAGCTTGAGCATAGGAGACCTCAAAGCCTGCCCCCACTGTGACATACTTCCTCCCAAAAGGCCATACCAACTGCAACAAGTCACACCTCCTAATAGTGCCAATTCCTATGGGGGGCATTTATTTTCAAACCACCACAATAATTAATCATGAAACAATTCAGGTGTATATAGAAACTAAAAGTCCTCAATGGACAGACTTGTGAAAGGTTTATCTCAGTGATGGCAATAACACTGAATGAAGGGAAGCCCTAGGTACCACTGTGGAGCCTATGGGTAGCACGAGGCTCAATGACATACATTGCTTGTATGGAAAATAACAAAATACCAAATAACAATTTTATATACAACCACAATGAACATTGTAATACATACTCAAGCATATACTACTTTACTTTCAAAGCAAACAAAGTGTACTAACCCAATGTTCTAACATTTTTATCCAGACAATTGAAGATTACCCCTATTTATAATAATAGTAATGATATACAACCATTCTTGGTACAAACAGTTTATGTTTATGCTAGGGCTAAGAATCCTAACCCTAGTGAGCAATGAAGAAATTTCCCTATTTATAGTGCATATAGACTCTTAAGTTGGAGAATGTGTTTAGGAGAATGAATCCATGCATAATGTCAACTTCTTTTTTTGTAATGACTGCACCATTCAGTATTGCAGCTAATGAAAATATAAGTAGAATAAACACTCTGTATATGTCCATGTAAACTAATGACTGACTGCAAACATGTGATGTAAAATCCCTACTTCATATTGACCAAAAGGTTAAACTATAGCTCCTGTGTCAGACAGGATATGTAGCAATTGCTCCACAAATAGTCCAACCTTCAGCCTTTAGGTAGCAATTGAAAAATGGAACAAAATCAACACTTCAAATAATGCATTTATGACCCAGGGATGCATACCTCTACTCTCAGCCTAAAGGGGCTGAGAGGATCTCTACTTCATGGGGAACAAAGTAAGACAATCAACCAGATAAGATGGATGAAGCAGCTCACCTCACATCTGTGTACGACTGTAGAATACACTGTTCGCAGACTTTAAAATACTAAGAAAAATGTTTTGGGGGTGTGATTATCTTTTACCTTGAAAGGCAGTGGCTCTTCCGTGAGAGGGCTGATGGGAAGTGAGGCGGTACTGCTGGAAGGGCTCACATCACTCTGAAAGGAAAGAGCCGCTGTGTTAAAAACACCATGCTCGGAACCATTTTCAAAATTCCTAACACGAAATCTAAAACTCATTGTTGAGATAAACACGTATATATGTGTAAAAAATATTCAACATGGATATTTTGATTAAATATAATGACTATTTTGTGTTAAGCAATACGTAATATTTTTACCTAATTTACAGATTTACTTCTTCTCGGAAGATAAAAGTATAATGAGTCATTATGATATCATGTCAACAGCTTTCTCTCTGATATTTAAACATGAATAATATTTCTGTTCCTTTTGTGGAGATTTAAACTACAGTACTTACCTCATGTTCATTAAATAAGCCACAGACAATTAAGACAATTGAAACAAGAGAAAAAACATTTTTATACTTCCTAGTTCAAGACCTTGTCATTTATATCCTTTCTTTCATTTTGAATACTTTATTAAATGTGATATTTTATTAAATACTTGAGACTTTGTGCATGCATACAATGTATTTTGATCATGTTCACCCTCCTACTCTCCCCTGTAACTCCTTCAAATATCACACCCACTATCCCTGCTAGCTTATGTTCTTTTCCTTTTTATTTCTTTTATTCTTATAATCCATGGAATCATACCTGTGCTGCTCATATGTCCATCATTATTGGGCAATCCACTGGTATATGTGCAACCTACCAAGGGCCACACTCTTAAAGAAAACGGACTTCCCACCACACACTAGTCATCAATTGTCAGTAGCTACTCAGCTAAGGGTGAGAACTTGTGAGTCCCTCACCACTCAATGCTAGCATGATAATCATATAGATCTTATATAGGAAAATACAGTTGCTATGAGTCCATGAATGCTTTCTCATCTTCAGAAGACATCGTTTCACTCTGGCTTTCCCAAACCTCTGACTTCTATCTATCTGAAGTTGTTGAGAATTACACTAGTCTATCGGTATGGATATATGAATTTGGAGGGCAACTTAATATTATGTCTCTTTAGCAGAGTTACAGGAGTAGGTTTACCACTGGGGTCTATGATCTCCCCACCATGAGTCCTTTGCCAGCTGTGCAATATCACTTATGAGTTTCCTCCTTTAAAGCAGACAAACCTTAAACCCAACCAGAAAATGATTGATTACCCATATACTATTTCTGAGACTATTGCATACATGAACATGTCTTGCCAGTCTGGTCATTACTATAGTTTAAAAAGGGTTTCCATGTAGGTAAGACTGATATTAGCTTGTTTCTCCAGCAGCATCTTTCAGCACTATGACAGATAGCAAGCAGAGAGGATACTTCCTGGCCAGTACCAGCTTAAGTTCCCTAGGCCCTGTGTCCAAAGTGTGGTGAGATCTTATTTGGCAATATGATCTTAGTACCAAGTTCTTCTAGAAAATCAAGAGCAGTGGACTCCATTGTTTGTAGGGCCTTGGGACCTTGCTAACTAACAATGTGAGGAGAAGGTACCCATACATAAAACTAGGCATACTATTTGGCAGACTGTGACTTCTGGGAGAATATTCCCATTATAGGTTAACTTCAATTAGACTCTTTAATATGATTATGTTTATATAAATATTTACATGGATATATAAACATATATTATAAGATATGTATGTATATTACAATATTGCAGGTTTCTACTTTGCATTTCAAACAGATTTAGTGTTAGTTATTTTCTCCACCCCTATCTCTTCCATACTCTGCTATTCCTTTCCCCACCTAAGCTTCCCTCCCCATTATTCTTACCCATGAATAACTGCCTATATTCTACTATTCACTTACCCTAAGATATTTCTTCCTTCTTCACTATGAATGGCCCCATCTAGCCCCTAGAGCCAAATAAAATATTTGTACAAAATATGAGCATGACAGGAATGGTTTATTGCTATTTCAATCATTCCAAAATATAATTTAATAAAACTCATAAACTAATTTTGTTTTTAAAAGACATGAGTTAGGAGCTATCATTGATTCACTTTACTAAAAGCAATAACAAGCTACTGATATTAGGGAGTGCATGTATCTGAGGAACTATTCCTAAGTAAGATAAACAAATAAAACATTGAAAAAAAGGCATGCCCACTGTCTTAGTGTGCTTTCTATTGCTGTGATAAGACACTGACCAAAAGCAACAAAGGGAAGGGAAGACTATTGGGTTACAGGTAATGGTCCATCATCAGAAAAGCCAAGTAAAGAAATGAAGGCAAAGGCAAGAAATGAAGAGACCAGGGCCATGGAGGAATGCCACTGGCTTGCTTCCTCTAACTTGCTCTGCTTCTTTCTTATAGAGCACAGGCCCAACTGCCCAGGTACATCATCTCCAACAATGGCCTCCAACTCCTTCATCAATTACCAATCACATAAATACCCCAAACATGGCCACAGGCTGATCTGACTGAGGCAGTTCTGCAGTTGAGGTTCCATCTTCCCAGACAGGCCAAGTTGACAGACAAGATTAGCCATGATACCTACATTTCTCAATTTGATTTTCAAATATATATATGCATACAAATACAGTAAACCTCACCATAAAGATAAAGCAAAAGAATGAATTGGCAAGGTTTGATGAACAATAAGGGCTTTAGTACATAAAAAAGAATATCCAAATAATGATGGATGTTGTACTTCCTTCTATATAAAGGCATTTTACTTCATTTATTAATGTTTACAATAAAGTACATATGTTAAAAATGTGTTAAAATATTTATCCTGTTTTTCCAGTCTGGAAACCAAGGAAAAGAAGTGTAAATACCAACTGATACCTTCAGCATGATTTTATGTAAAACACACAGCACTGGAGTGAGTTAAATGATGCAGAGGGAAATTAAATAAAAACTGAAAAACACATTAAATATTAGGAAAAATGTCAGTTAATGGCTCTCTTTAATTTCTAAATTTACTCAAGACTGCTAAGCCAGTAATAAATCAAAACCCAGGAAATATCAATTATAAAATCTTCTGACTATAGGAAACCCCAAGAAATATGAGTTACAAATCTTTCTGATTCTATTCTATAATAGAAAAAGTTTCTTCTACCAACCAATTTAATTCATAATTCTAGCATAAGAAATGAGTGAAATTTTTCCAGAATTAGAGTTATAAAAAATATGACTCTGGGCTGTTAGAACAGCTTGTAGAAGGTGGGAATTTCTGATACTTGTTAAAGTGTCATGCCCGTAGCAATAGCTGTGAGAATGAAGATGTGTAACGATATTCTTTCCGCCAGTCTGGTCCCAGAGCTGCATCAGTCCCAAATAACACATAGAGACTCTATTCATTGCAATGCTGTCAGCCAATATCCAGGGATTCTCATTGACTAGTTCTGTCTTAAGTATTAACCCATTACTACTAATATGTATATTTCTATAAAGTCTTACCCTACCAAGGACATCAGCCTCATGTGTTCTCTCTTCCTGGGATCATATGGCGACTTTCCAGTCTTGACTACTACTGAGGAAGATTAACCTACACAAGATAGTGATGTCGTATGATATTTTATTAGGGAGAAATCACTTACACGAAAAGCCAAGAACCCAAGGTTCTGCTGCTCTCCGAGACCAGACCAGAACCCCAAGAGAGAGCAAATCCCCTTCCTCTCAACTCTGTATCACCTGCATTTTAGCTACAGGTACCTAAGATTTCTCCCTATAGACTACATTTTCCAGAATCCTCCTTGACTCCTAGTCCCACCTACCTATCTTGCTTCCCTATTGGCCAACAGTGCTTTATTTATCAACCAATAAGGTAAACATACAGACAGCAGGTCTTCCCCCATCACAGATGTCTGGATCATATACCGTACAAATAGTTTTTGAACTCCAGTAAGACAGTGAACTGAGAATTAATACATGTAGCAAACTTTTTCAAGGAGTGAGGTCTCCCAGACCTTGCCAGAAGTCAGTGTGCAAAATTCTCAGCTCTCAGAGGCTGGCTTGGAGCTTTGCCTCAGTGTCACTGAAATTGGAATGCCATTCATAGTGAGAGCTTCATTCTGCCTGTAAAATTCAACTCATATTATGACACTTCAGTTCTGTCGCTCAAAAAATTTTTGGCATAACTGCTTTAAGCAAGGAATCAATCTTAAGTAAAAAAATCTGATGAACTACACTCAAATATTAAAATGAAAAAATAACAAAAGTCAAGTAAAAGTATTTTCACTTTTATCTTACTGTTTCTGAAATTCTTTTTAGTAACTTACAATCCAGGTGTCATCAGGGTATGTTTACTGTTCTCAATAAAATTACATCAAAACCTTTGGGGATAAGAATTGTGCATATTTCAAACCTTAATTAACTTGCCCTTTTATTCAAGCATTGTAATATGAACAAATTGACCTAGCAAGAGACAAATTCATAAAATACAGAAACAGATCATGTTGCTTTTTACACTTTTAAAGGTTACAATATATATTAACCTATATTGTTATAAAAATAGTTTGTCATAACTAGAGCTTCCTGTGCTTCGGTTGTATTTTAGACTCTGGAGTAGTCCAAGAATTTGATGAACACATAAAAGAGGTAGACTCCCAGAAAAGCAAAAATCCCCATAGACTAGATCTTCCTTGTCTCATGTCAAACCCTTGGGCTTCCTTAAGCACTAAGGATAGTTCTTGATGTGGTGTGTCATAAGAAGCATGTTCTAATGTTAATAGGTATCATCCACTTGCATGTCTGGTTCTAAGTCCAATCTGGTACCACACTCTTTCAACACCAAAGTGAGTTCATAATGTAACATTTTTCTTGCCTTTAGATTATTTTGCCCAAATTTGATTTCCTCTTTCTAATTCTGCCTTTATAAAAAATCTTCTCTTTTGTTTTTCTGTACACTAAGCTTAATATTATGTATTAGTGGCTGCAAGTAGACAAGTGTTCCCTTAGTGCACTTTGGAGACACTCTGGCCAACACTGTCCTTTACTTATGCATTCTGTTCTCTGGTGTTTTTTTTTCTACTTGTCTAACCTTAGAGACACTTTAGATTACTCAGTTAATACTACTTTCAGATT